CCGGAAACAAAAAGGATACATAAAGGTTGGCTCCGAGGGCTATATCCGGGGTCCCTTACCAGATATTGACACCAGTGCAGCTAGGGTGAGCGACTTTAGAGTTCTGTAAGAATCCGCTTAAGATCGGTCGTACGCAGCATCAGAAAACCGAGAACAATGCAAATTCGTTCTGCGACCAAAGATAATAGACATTTGGCCAGGATCAACCCCGGATGAGTGGTGGCTAACTGGTTGTTCATTGATTAGTTGTTTTGAAGTCGGCAGTAGCGAACCAGCGAACAACAACCGTGCTCTCATGCCATCACAGCCAATTCCCGGTGCTCTTCTACTACCCTGATCGAGCTAAACTTGTAACTTGCAAACTATAGTTTCTCATCGCGGCTAAAAATTCACCCGTCCAGAGTGCATTCTTGAATTGACTGAGACGAGGTTGGCAACGGGGTTGGCTCGAGCACTAACCGTCAATCCTCAAGGCGAGAGAAGAGTGCAACTTAGCCTTGCTTTATGGATCACCATGACGCGCAAAGTATCGGGGCACATAAAATGGATTAAACAAACTTTATCTCAGCTGAAGCGATGGGCCACAATGCCAGCCAATTGCACATTTTCAAGTACACACAATGACGCTACTTATTTACGTCGCCTTAGATGTTATCGGATTGTGAGTGACACAATTAGAGTAACTAACAAAACACATTGAACGATCTGCTGGTCTAAAAGCTGAAATGCTCCAAGTCAACATGAAGTCACAGACGGAACATTGAAAACACCAGTTGGCTCACCTTCGCAAGTTTTAAAAATTCCTCCTGAGCTGCTGCCAAGTTACTCTTCTGTCCTTTCCAAGCATCAATAACTGAGGCCTGAAGAGCCCGACCAAAGCTGAAGGTCAAGGCCCACGGCTTGCGACCAGGGACTTTATTGATCTCGTTAAGATTCGTAGTGGCTTCGAGCTCAGATTGGCCGCCAGATAAAAATGTTACTCCTAGAAGTCAAATCAGTTGCATTGTGATATAAGAGGAATGTAGTGGTAACTTATGACTCACGTTATCGTGGAATGTGTTACGCATAAATTATAGCAGCGCATTATAAACTAACCAACATTTTCACGACAAATATGTTGGCGATGGATGTCAGCGCTTTCGCGCGGAGCGTTTGCTCATGGCATTTAGGCTTTAGACTAAACACCGCTCTGCCCCTTATTAGTATTGCGCATTCTCTAGATCATCATCATTGCTTGGCGACGAATTATCAAGTGAAATCACTGATGTAATGCTGATGATGATGACTCGCTACACAAACATAATCATTATACATCGACTCGGCGAAGTAATCGGAGTAGAAGCACGTCAACTCAATACATGTGGGCACGAGCGAGGGGAAAATAGGTATCAGCCAACATAAAACTAGGTCGGACTGTTTGCAGCTCAATGACAAGATGGGGATGATTGGGAAAATACTAGATTTCAAAAAAAGTAAACTAGAGTCAACGGAATATGAATTGATCACTATCCATCGATCTGACCTTCAAAGGCCGCAAGCAAATCCCTTTCAGCCCCAGAACAGGACTGCGATTGGCCAATCTCACGAAGCTATTAACAGGCTTATAAATACCTACGAATGTTTCATTGGTGGATACCTGTTATCATAATAGATCCCGTTCAGAAATCTTGTCTTCTTCCTTGTTAAGGTTGGGACAATTGATTAGAAGTCGAATTTGTGAGTGTGCTCGTAAAGAAGTACGGTAGTGGTCATCAGATAGCAACCGAAAACAAAATGAATGGCAGACACAGCAGTCAAGCTCCCTTCGGATGAAGCTCAGGGCAAACCATCGTTATCATCGCAATAATCAGTCATTTGAAGTGACGCTTCGCCGCTGTACAACCACAATGTTAGATCTTCGCGTTTTCTCGCTATTCCGAATTAAACACCCAAAAACTTCTCCGCAAAAATTCTAACCCAGCCGAAGAAAAATCAAAAGTCCAACGATCTTGACCGCGAAAATGGTGTTAACAAAAAGGCCGCTATGACTCTCTGACATCTTTCGCCCTCTGGTGCCTATTGCTTTGCCTGTTTCTCCGGCTGTTGGTATTTGCTGCTAGGCTTAATGAATTGCCCGTTTGTGTCACCGCCGGGAAGGTGTGGGATAGTAGTTACATGTCCTGGGCGCCTCCTCGTGGCGACCGCTGGGTAGGAGATGGGCTTGCCTAGCTCTGAGCTAAGATCCAGGATACCCCAGGGCGAACCGACACCCCGTTCGTGGGTTGATTTAACGGTCACTAAAACTAAACAGAGTACATTGAATTTCAAGAGGGCCTCGTGTTCTCTCGCTGACCGTGGTGAAACACCTGCTGGTAGTTCCGATGATGGTATCGTGGAAGTGATAGAGATTGTGGATGAAAGTGCTCAGAGAGTACGAGATGTTGATTTGGATGCGGAGGGTGACGCTTCAGAGACCGGTGCTATTGGTAGTTGGTACGAGTGTTTCCGTGGCTTATGTTTCCCCACGAAACGGGGGTTAGGCCAGCATAAAAGGCGTAAGCACTCGACTGAGCTGAACGAAGAACGCTTGAGTATGATTCCGAGACGGAAAGGGGAATAGAGTAAGGAAGAGACTAGCAGGTTGTTGATTCATGCGACTGAGCTACTACCAAAGTGTGGACAGAAGGCGGTGGCGTACCAGAGGCTGACGGCGCTCTTTCCCGGTCGGAGCGCGGAAGGGATAAAGAAGCACCTGATGAAACAGCGCCGGTCTGTATGCACAATACGTCGTAAGCCAGCTTTTGAGCCATGGGAGTCTCCGAAGGTCCGAGTACCCTTTAGCAGTCATTCCGTAAATAGTCGGTGGAGAGCCGGATGACTGCGATGATGGCGATGCTGGGCCAGAGAACCAAGGGCCACCTTCTTCCTTAGATGAGGCTGGTGCACAGCTTGCTCTTCCGGATATTATCTGGGATGGTGTGGATGACAATCAATTTGCAGAGCTGGTTGATCTGGTTTCGCCAGTTGAGGGTCAAGAGACGGTTGAGAGGGGAACCTCTGGGGTAGCGCAGCCGACTGAAGAGGATGCGTGGAGAAAGGGGTTATTGGAGCATGTTATTTCAGCTTTAAGCCAATTACGGACGGATGACCAGCGAATCTCGGAGCTGCTGTACATTGCATTGACGCTCCGAGTTGGTCTGTAGCACAGCTGCTTCTCTCACAGTTGTGGAAAGTGATTTTCCGCATTGCTGGAAGCCCTCTAGGACGAGGGTCTCCCGAGTCCCGGTTGGGAAAAAGGCGGTGAGGAAGACGTCGTACGCGGCCGTGCAAAACCTATGGCGGTCCAGTAGGAAGGATGCGGCAGAGGCTGTGTTGGGTGGTTCATGGAGAGGGCTGTACCGGAAGCAACCGGTGGTGAACGATAAGGACATGTTGGAGTACTGAAAGGTGGTTTTCGAGACTACTGGTGTGAAGGATGACCGCCCGACGCTGGAGTCCGTTGCCTATAATTATACTTTGGTAGAGGCCATCACCATTAACGATATCCAATGGGCCTTACGAGGTGCAAGGGGTTCGGCTCCAGGACTGGATAAGCTGAGCGCTGAGGGTATTGCCTCCTTGGGTTTGGAGATGGTAGCGTAACTGTTCAACCTTATGTTGGCAGCAGGGGCTCCGCCTCCTAGAATGACGCAGGCTAGAATCACTCTTGTTCCCAAGGGTGGTAACTCTAGCGTACTACCAGAGGAGTACACCCGGTAGCGGTGTCTTCGATGATGATTAGGGTGTTCCATCGGGTCCTGGCGCGGTGGTGGAGGCAGTCTCTGTCACTAAAGTCATTAAAGATAGCGTTTCAGAAGAGAGATGGGTGCCTCGAGGCTGTGTATGTGTTGCAGTGTTTGCTAAGAACCGTGCATAGTAGGTGTATGGATGCAGCGGTGACGTTTTTGGATGCTAGCAAAGCCTTCGATACAATGAGTGTGGATTACATCACGAGAGCAGTGAGGCGTCATGGGGCGACACTGACGTTGCAGCAATATCTCTTTCGGTTATACCACGAGTCGGAAGTAATGCTTTGTGACGAGCGTGTTAAGTGTTGACGTGGTGTGCGGCAGGGTGATCCATCGTTGCCCTTGCTACTTATTATGGTAATGGACGAAGCAGTCCAGTATGCAGGTCCGTTTGAAGGATTATCTGTTAATGGGAAGTCTTGGGGCATTGGCTTACACTGATGACTACGTTTTATTTGCTGAAAGTTCTGAACAGATGAGTGGCAAGCTGAGAGCTTTGTACGACGGGCTGAAGGCGGCAGGCATGTCGTTGAATGCTTCGAAGTGTAGAGCGATCACAATACGCAAGCTTGGGAAACAAAAGACAGTGGTCCTGGTGCCCGAGCCTTCCCGTCTTTTAGGCGGTGAGATCCGACCGGTTGGTGTGAATGAAGAACTTCGGTACCTTGGTTTGCGTTTCGGCTAGAAGAGTAGGGTCCATGTGCGTAGTACACGAACGCTAGCTGGGTGGCTGGACGAGATAAAGCGGGCGCCGTTGAAACCTCAGCAGCGCCTCGAGTTAGTGCGTGATTTCGCTGTTCCGAAGTGTTTTTACGAGATGGTCATGGGCAATGCGCATCGAAAAACGTTATCAAAGATGGATGCAACGATTGGTATGTCTGTTCGTGAATGGCTGAGATATCCTAAAGATGTACCGTTGCTGTTCTTCTATCATCGCCAAACAAAGGAAGCCTTGGGTTAGTGAGGATAAGCACGATCGTGCTTTTCGCGCAGAGAAGAAAGTTTGAAAGGTTAGCTAGTTCTCCAGACGAGTTCATTCGTAGGCTGATGGAAACAGAAGCTGTCCGAGTGGACGTGCGAGCCGCGAACATCCAAGCAAAGATTCAGGGTTCCAGGTTGAGGGCAAGGAAGACATCAAGAAAGTGTCCAGAGATAAGGTTGAGCAGTCGTTAGACTGTAAAGGTCAGAATTAAGAGCAGCAGGATCCCGCGTCAAATTTGTAGATGCAGTGGAACGCGCATCTTTCCTAGTCTCTTCATTCGTGCTACCAAGTTAAGAGGGGGCTTGCTGCCTACTAGGGTGAGAAGCTGTAGAGGAGAGAGTCGAAAAGGGAAAAGCTATTTGTGTAGAGGCGGCTGTGGCCAAGCGGAATCGGTTGGTCATGTGTATGTCAGGTGACGCATGACGCCTGGTGTGCGAAACATAACCGTGTGGTTCGTAGGTTAGCTCAGCTGGTAAAGAAAAAGAAGAAGAACCGGGTTGTGTTTGTGGAGCCGGTAATCCCACTTCCCCTTGCGGCCGGGTATGTTAAACCCGACCTCGTGATCTGCATCAGTGGGCTCGTTGTGGTTTCAGACGTGGCAGCGGCCGATGCTCAACGCGAATCATAAGAAGGGCAAGAGAAAGTAGAGAAGTACAATACACCTGCAGTCGAGAGTGGGCTGCGGAACTTTCTGTCAAAGGAGGGGACCGCGGTCCGTAGGATTATCCATAGTCCCCTTATTGCATCCGATCGAAGGTTCATATTCAAGCGTTCGAGTGAAGCTCTGAGGAAGCTTGGATTGAGTTCTCGTGATATTTCTGATTTGTCCCTACTGGTAGTAACTGGTTCTCTGAAGTGTTACGACGTGTATATGCATGGCGCATGACTGTTCTCTTTCTCTTTCTGTTTCAGGTCCAGTAGAGGACGAAATGAAGCGGATGGCAAAAACACATTGGGAGGCCTGATGCGGATAAGCCAGCAGGTGGAGCAGCAGTGGCGCCTTGGGCGTCTCAGTTGATGATTACAAGTGTTGATGGCTCTTTTCTGGTTGGCTCTTTTTCTTGCTATTATCTTCCAACCCAGGCTACCCGGTTCCCGTCAAAGGGGCCGTCATGGCACCCTCACGCTGCTTTCACCGTTCATTTTGCAGCCCAATGTCCGCCGTGATTGTGGGGCCTGTGGTCTTACTTATGGTGAGAGCGCAATGAGCCTGGAAGATGGTATCAAAGCCCA